CCAAGGTCTTCCTTTCCCGACTAACATCACTTGCACTACATACACTAACAGTTGGAGGGGTAGGAGGTGGAAGAGGCGTCATGATGCAAGACTAGCTACAGGTAGTACTAATACCAGCCCTGTCTTGCTGTTCACTCTCTCTTCAATGGATCCTTCATCTTACAGGGGGAAGAAACGAGAGGAGATTGTTGTGTCTGTAGCATTAACTGTGAATGATGTTAGTATGTCGTCTGAATTCTCTCTTTTCTTTGCTTTCTTTAAAAAGCTTTGTTTATCATGACCCATGCTTGGCCACGTTTTCAGTAAACTAATTTCATTTTGCCTCTTGTTTAAATTAATTAAGTGATCCTGTAACTGATAAAGCGGCACCAAATTTGAAACATATCTAAAAGAATAAATTGATTTTAATTATTATTACTGGACTGTTGGCATTTAAGTATGGTACGTACAATTACAATCAATATTATGAGTTGTAAACACATTAAAGAAGTAAGGTTGAAAGATGAATGAGGTAATGTATGGTAATAGACCAGACCCTTGCTTTGTAGAGGGGACTGGCTATGAGACTAATAAGGAATGAATCTAATGAAGTGGAAATTTATACTTATTACAAGTCCTTATATGTAAAGATATTTACTATTGACATTGTTCTAGATCTAATAGTATATACTCTCACTATAACACTCTTATAATCAACTGTGTATGTTTGTCCCCACAATTTTACCACCAATCACTGAGACTATTATAACTGGTTAAACTAGATAAATTATCTTTTAAAATCATAAAAATACATATCACTGAGCTAAAAAAAACTAAACACAAATTAACAATAAAAATTAACGTCAATTGGCAATATTCATCAAAGTAGCAGTTAAAATTCCAAACAGTATGAGACTGAGGAATGGAATGAGGCAATATCCACTGCTAGTAGGAGAAGTACTAGGAGCAGTTGTACTGATAGAAGAACTGCTGCTGGAAGAACTGGAACTACTACTGCTGCTAGAGGACACACTTGCTCTACTGCTTGGAGTAGCATTGACAATGTTTGTTGTACTACTAGGAGTTGCATTGACAATGTTTGTTGTACTACTAGGAGTAGCATTGACAATGTTTGTTGTATTACTAGGAGTAGCATTGACAATGTTTGTTGTACTACTAGGAGTTGGATTGACAATGTTTGTTGTAGTACTACTAGGAGTAGCATTGACAATGTTTGTTGTACTACTAGGAGTTGCATTGACAATGTTTGTTGTAGTACTACTAGGAGTTGGATTGACAATGTTTGTTGTAGTACTACTAGGAGTTGGATTGACAATGTTTGTTGTAGTACTACTAGGAGTAGCATTGACAATGTTTGTTGTAGTACTACTAGGAGTAGCATTGACAATGTTTGTTGTAGTACTACTAGGAGTAGCATTGACAATGTTTGTTGTACTACTAGGAGTAGCATTGACAATGTTTGTTGTAGTACTACTAGGAGTAGCATTGACAATGTTTGTTGTAGTACTACTAGGAGTAGCATTGACAATGTTTGTTGTAGTACTACTAGGAGTAGCATTGACAATGTTTGTTGTAGTACTACTAGGAGTAGCATTGACAATGTTTGTTGTACTACTAGGAGTAGCATTGACAATGTTTGTTGTACTACTAGGAGTAGCATTGTTTGATTGGGAACTTTGAGAAGACACAGAATTTGTAGCACTGGGGCCAGGCGTAGCATTAATAGTGTTTGCAGAAGAAGAGGTGCTACTGGTAGTTGAAGCACTAGATGAAGTCATGCTAGAGACTCCAGTGCTAGTAGAAGAACTGCTAGATGTGGCTGATGATGATGTAGTAGAAGTACCCACTTGATAAAGTGCAGCTACATGTACATGTATACTTTAAAATAAAACATTTTGATAATACATTTTTTGTTACCTGCTTCAGGGCAATTCTCAAAGTCGTCCTAAAAATTTTTTAAATACAGTGTACTATTATACAAAGGCCAAGTTGACTTACATAACATATCTCAAGACATGAAGGACATATAATTGTTCCTGTGTATGTTACACTGTTGTTGACTTGATTAACTGTTAACTAATGGAGAATTGGAACTATATAAATGCTTTCCCTTTTCCCTCGGCCCTCAGAACTTAAACATACCACTTCTCCAGCTTGACTGCAATGATATGATTGACCAAGAATGAATATTGTAACGGCACCATTAGAGCATTGATACTATAGCAATACTAAGAAATTGAAAGAAGTATGATATGATTAATTACCTGATAGCAGCCAGCTTGAGGGAAAGGAAGTGTTACACTGCTAGAACTCATTCTAGCTACCCATGAAGTATTGTGTTCAACGCATCTTGAGCCTTCCCCATATGTTTCAGCTCTTCGATTACTTAAACCTATAAAATGTCAGTATAAAAAGGATTTGCCTCTGCTACATCAGCAATCTCTTTAAAGCCATCTTTTTGTTTGTACACATATTTACTCCTCCTAATAACATGTTACACACACTGACCCTACCTTCCTCCTCATTCCTCCCTATCTCTCCATCACATGCTTTCAGCCATTCTCCCAAAACAGAATGAATTATGATATTTTTATTAAAAAT